CCCCAAAACCCCAAAACCCCAAAACCCCAAAACCCCAAAACCCCAAAACCCCGAGGAAATTCTGCCCAATTGAACATTTTAGAATTTTTAAGGCTTATTTTAGTCAAATATAGAGGTGATCCACTCATGCCGTAAGGCTTCATTGGGACTCAGTCGCAGGTTAGGGTCCCAATGAAGTCATGCATCGATGAATTTTATAAATGGGGTTATGGTTTCTTTCTGATCGTCAGGCACACCCATGTAAAGCAGTTCAGAAAGAGCCTTTGAATTGATCTCAATAACATCTTCAATCGCATCTTTTACCTTTTTTGGTTGGAGATCATCATCAAAGAATATCTCTCTTCTGGTGGAGCTTTGAAGAAGGTTTATGGGAGGAATTCCTTTGTACTCCATTATTAATGAAAACTGCTCTTCTTCTGACTCCCCAGGGAATAAAGGGAATCCTGTATATAGTTCAACTCAAATGCAGGCAAAACTCCACATGTCAATTGCTGGTGTATAGGGAATCCCGAGCATAATTTCTGGAGCTCGGTAGAACCGACTCTGGATGTAAGTATATACCTGATCTTTGACAAATCAGCTGCTGCCAAGATCAATAATTTTTATCCCAGTCTTATTATTTTTCTTGAGCAAGATATTTTCAGGCTTCAGATCGCAATGACATATTCCTCTTTTCTTTAAGAACCTGAGCCCCTGTAATATTTGTATGGCGATCCTTCTCACGATGTCTAGGGGGAACCCCTTGTGGTCATTAGACTTTATGAGCTCGTACAGGTTTATGGAGTACAGGTCAAAAGATAAACAAATATGATTCCTGAATTTAAAATGGTCTATGATTTTGATAATGTTACTCTTATCCTTATCGTCATACTTCTTGATCTCTAAGAGGACCTTAATCTCAATATTTGCTTGAAACTCAAACTTCTTCTTGTTCCTGATGATCTTCAACGCGACTAATTTCTTATTTTTGTGATCAAATGCCTTATAGACCTTTCCAAAGCTGCCTTGGCCGAGTGTCGAGAGGATCTCATACCTGTAGGAAATATGATCATTTTCAACAGTTTTATAGTCTCCACGGTTATCATCGAAGCCAAAGTTGGTATTAAGATCCTCTGTGGGTTCTATTTTCTTCTCTGTGGTACCAACAAAATAAATGCTCTTGAAGTCTAGTATCTCCCCTTCCTCAAATTTAGAAAGACCTTTGTCCTGAAACATCTTGAGAGCTCTTTCTGGAGACAATGGAAGACTCTTCTCAGTATCTCTGCTAGTGATCTTATTAGAGGGAGATCTTAAGGAGTGGGGTACAGTCTTGCTCTCTTCAAGCATATCTTGACTTTCCTTTTTAGACCCAGATCTTCTTCTCCTTGAGCTGATCTTTTGGGAGCTTGCAAAGAGATCAATCTCACATTTGGAGACTTCATCCTTCTTCGAAGCCTTTGGCTTTTTCCGGTGCTCCTTCATGTATCTGCTGAACCGGATAACTTTTGAATTATTTTGAGGCTTCCCTTGGTTTATAGATATCGACTTGCATGTCATATTTTTAGAAGTATTGTTACTCAATGTGCTATACTTGACCATCGACCCACTCTTGGAAGAGGCAGAGTTATCCTTCGATCCCTTCGGGTATTTAAGAATCTTAATGGTAGACCCTATGCTTTCAGGCCCACGCTCAAAGCTTGGCGCCTGCTTCCTAATCGTAGTGTAATTAATCATCTTATTTATGCTTTGAAGATGTCTTCGGCTTCTTTTTCTCAAACCCCTGCAAATTAACCGCCTTCAGCATTGAGCTCTTGTTACTAGGGGAGATCAACTGAGGCTTCAGGCTTGGATTCAGGTACTTCTTGAACGTCGAGAAGTTCTTGCTGCTTGATTTCACCCCAGGCTTTACATTATCACAAGGAATAGTTACCTTAACATAATGGAGATTTTGGATCGTGGTTGTTAACTTGTTCACGATTTTAGAAGTTTTCGATATATTTTTAGACGACTTTTTGTCTGTTATCCCTTTATTTAAGCTGCGATTTCTTCTTTTTCTTCCCTGAAGATATTATATGAGAATTTGGCTTCGTCGATACCCGATGTGATGTACTGTTATTTTGTTGATTTGATCTTCTTGTCAATACCTAAAATGGGGATAAACTTTAGAAATTTTTGGGAGAAAATATCTGAGGATATATTCACTCTCAGATTTCAAGGGGATGTTGTAAACCCTACCTATTCTCCTCAGACTTTTGTAAACAGTCCCTGGGTCTAAACTGAGGTTGGAACCTTTAGATCTGGAGCCACTTTTGGGTTCATAATCAAAAGACCCTATTCTTGTTGGTAAAAGGTTCTTTTTCTTGTCTATATCTATGAGTTTATGGCTGTCAATGGGAGAGGCTCACCTGATCTACTAAGCATGGATTGCTATTTCAAATATTATGAATTCTATTTTATATTATAAATATGGGGTTTTGGGGTTTTGGGGTTTTGGGGTTTTGGGG